TCTATCTATCTATCTATCTATCTATCTATCTATCTATCTATCTATCTATCTATCTATCTATCTATCTATCTATCTAATTTTGAGAAAAAACACTTTAAATTTTAGATTTTCCCTGTGAGCTAACAAAGTTGTAGTTTCTTCCTGCTGAGAAATCTCATATTCAAACATTATTTGATGTTTCCTCTTTATAATAACATCAATAATTCCTCATTAATATGACATAAAAATCAGATTCAGACCAAATATTTACTTACCATTGTAACCAAGACAAATGAAGTCCTTTCTCTGATCATTCTGATCAAAATGTAGTGTTTAAAGGCAGGAATCTGAAAATGCGGTCAGATCAGATCATTTTAACCACATTCGACATGATGGGTCACATTTGTTATTTCCTACCTGGCAGTCCTGTTAAATCTGGAAGCTACAGATCTACAGCATTATTCAGATATATCTTTTTGTGTTAATTTAGCACAAACKCCATCGTTTCCAGAGAAGTTTGACATGAAGCAGAACCTGAGTCACGTGAAACAACATTCCTCAGTGAGATTTGARCCAAAGCACCCACTCTTTTTATATTTATGCTCCTGTTTGCTTTGCTTTGCACAGCAGAAGCTTAAAGGACTTTATTTAATTTGATTAATAAAATGAGCCTGTTTGAACCCGTTGTTGGTGAGTGAAACCTGCAGCCGACACGTGTGGTTTCTGCAAACTGAGGATGTTTAATGGAAGCTCACGCCTCTCTCTCCACCTGTGGAATCATGTTGTTTACGTTGAAATTACTCCGTCTGTCCATCGTCTGTGTTCAGATGTGAATAAATACCTGGCGAGCTGATTTGCAACATTTATGGACCGATGCAGCTCACTTCACCTTCCTGTGCCGGAGCAGGATCAGCTCCTTCAGGGGTCCTCCCACCTGCTGAGAGGAAATATTCACCTGTCAGAGTGCAGGTTAGATTAGAACCTCTGAATGTGGGAAAAGCATTAAAAATGAAAGCTGATCCATCAGATCATGACTCAGCACTTTGCTTTCATTCTCCACAGATTATTGTTCAGTTTTTGGTGATATCATTAATAAACTCCAAACAGATGGTGCAAAGTAATTATCTACAAAAAGTCTGTTTAGCTTCTTTTGTTTTTACCACTAATTATATACAAAGATTTTTTTTTTACCATCGAGTGAAGCTAAACTAAAAGCTTTCAAAATGAGCTGAATTATATCTCAGGCTGAGGCATTAAAATCTTTGTGTACCTGGAGTATGTATAAAACTGAGCTCTGAATGGCTTCTTTCCACTCCTGTTTTGTTGACTTTTTCCCTCTGGAGAGACAAACAAACAGAATTGTCAGAGAATGGTAGAAAATGGATTGAATGGTGCTTTCGGAGGAGATTACAGCTGGATTTCAGCCCAGTGAGTCAAACTGTGTTCAAGCCAAACACATCCATTTGAGCGCTGAATAATCCATCACCTCAGTGACCCCAGATCTGCTGAAGAGGCGGCTGTGCAACAAAAGATTGCTTTCTGGCTGACTGATAATGCTGGATGAGAAAAAAAGGGGGGTAGAAACTGCAGGAAGACCACCAAAATAAATGCTTGTTTTGGTGGTCTTCCTGCAGCTTCTTTGTTGGAACGGGCAGAACTAATGTGTGTCTGGTGTTTGCAGCTGTAAACAGAAGCTGTACGCAGAGAAGCTGCCCAACACCAGCATCATCATCCCGTTCCATAACGAGGGCTGGTCGTCGCTGCTGAGGACGGTCCACAGCGTGCTGAACCGCTCACCCCCACAGCTCATCGCAGAGATCATCCTGGTGGACGACTTCAGCGACAAAGGTACGAAACCAGAGCTCACGTCGTGAACGTCAGAGTAAACGAGGGCTTTTATTGGTTTATTTGAACCTCTGTTTTCAGGAGCAGTTCTAAAACATACCATGGAAGACCTCATTTTGTAATAACAACGCGTTATGTAATAATGTAATAAAATCTGGCTTCAAAATGTAATAAACTTGCACTAAAACCGCATTATGTAATAATTGACACAAAATGTAATAAAAGTCTTTTGTGGCAATATTTACAAAATGTGATGGTGTAATAATTTGGTGCATTATGTAAAAAACAATCAAAAAACAGTATTTCTGTTCATCCTAATTAATACACTAAATAATTAAATCTTTATAACTTTGGTCAACAAACACAGAACTTCTCATCTTTTATTTGTGTTTTCAGTCAAATTCTTGTGTATATGGATGTATAGAGCAATCTCACYTATTTCTTTCATGTTTTATGGAATCTTTCAAAAATTTAGTTTCTAATTTATTCAKCATGTCAGAGCCTMTAGGARATTAAAAWCAATTATTAACATCAAATATCCACTTCAAACCCACTCTGTTGCTAGAAACAAGTTCTTCACCTCATTTCCTTCTGATACAGAAGCTGACAGTCTGCCTGCACCACGCCCCCCTGCGTGTGATTGATACAGTGGTTTTTATTCACGAAAATTACAGATTTTTAAGGCTCATTTACAGGTAAATGTATGAAGGGGTTGACATGTAACTAACTTATAGATATATTGTGGGAGTTGTCTACAAGGTGGAATAATTTCTGTAACAGGGATGAGGACAGTAAATCTGAAAATGCAAATAAAAGATGAGAAGTTCTTTTATTGACCAAAGTTATAAAGATTTAATTATGTAGTATTTGCAACATGACAGTTATTACAAGTATATTGATTAGGATGAACAGAAATACTGGTTTTTGATTGTTTATTACATAATGCACCAGATTATTACACCAACACATTTTGTAATAATTGCCGCAAAATGTAATAATGTTATTACACAATGTGTTAAAGACTTTTATTACATTTTGTAGCAATTATTACATAATGAGATTTTAGCGCAAGTTTATTACATTTTGAAGCCTGATTTTATTACATTATTACATAATGTGCTGTTATTACAAAATGAGGCCTTGCATACCAATTTAATAGTTTATAAAAAACAACTGCGGAATGTTTTGTATTTATTGTTTTCTCTAAACTGCTGTCATTGGTCAAATGTTCCTCATGATGTCACCTGGACCTCTGGCTCTTTGTCTCCATTAATCAGCTTCAGGTTGAGGCATTAAAATCTTTGATGTGTGGCTGAAATATGTATAAAACTGAGATCTGATGACCTCTCTTGTTCTCTGGAATTGACCTTAATCATTGAATTTGGGTTGAGATCCAGGRTTTGTGAAAGCCAATAAAGAAGCTTAACATCATTCTGAAATGTGTCGTCGTCGTCGTCGTCATCTAATCAGGACATATGCAGTTAAAACAAATGTAAAAACATTTGATGCACCAGATTTAGGCTGATTTCATCTGTCGTRCCTCCAGACAATAAAACCAAACGTGACTAAATCTGCCACCTGCAGGTTAGTTAAGAACTAGTGGGTGAAAATGATGCTTGTGAATAAATACACAAACTGCTRGCCYTACCGGGTTGTTCTTGAACATCTGAACCAGGAAGTTGTCACATTTCCTTCAGAATAAAAGTCTCCAAACTGACAGAACAGCAGAATCTTGAGCCAGAAGCTGAAAATCTTAGTCTGGAACAATCAGCTGCTTGAATTAAAGGCAGTCGTTTGAAATTTGGAATTCTTTACGGCACTAAACTCAACATTTTACACCTTGTTAATTACTGCTTACTGTCACCGTCCCTCTGTGAAGGATGTGTTTACGTCTCGTCTCGTCGACAGTAATGAGACGTTCCGCTGCCTCACACTCGTTTAGAGGTTAACATGCATCAAGAGCTCCGAGACAAAAAAGCGTCCCGCTGCCAAGTGGAGCAGAAACAAAAGCTGGCAAACGCTCTGCTGCAGTCGTCCACGTTTTACACGACACTTTAAACATCTGTGTCACACCGAGGGTTAGAAAAGATGACACAGATTGTTGGTGCTGACTTAACCACAGCTGATTGGGTTTGTTAGGGAGGAGCTGAAGTTTGGATTGTTTGAATGAAGCATTTATTTTCTGCTGCTGGACAAATGTTTAATTAAAGCGAACATATGATGCTTTAAATCCTTCTTTCTTACATTTAAATCATTCAGTTGTCTTTATCAAGGAGGTRCTATAGAACAGCTGGAGTATGCAAAAACCACGTGACTGTGATTGGCTGGTGAAGCTAACGGCTAACGCTAAACGGTCAAGAGTCTGGATTTCCCATTACTGTACATGTTGACAACAGAGCAGAAAAAAAGGACTGAC